TTTTACTGATAATGTTATTGCAATTTGAGGGTCAAAGTAAAATTTTTCTGACTTCTTTGAGGCAGACATTTTTTTATGCTTTAGTAATACATATTATGTTGTTTGTTGTAGCCGGTGAACTTTATTAACGAAGGCAACGGTGGAAATGGTGGTGGTAATGGAAATGGTAACGGTAACGGTGGCAACGGTGGCGAGTACTACGGGGGCGGCGCCGCCGGACCGCCCGCCTGGGGATACAACCCGCACTGGCACCAACCCGCGCAGCAACAGAACCCACAGGTATGCAACATACTCACATCATTAACCTTTCTTTATCCATAGATTAAATCATACTTTGAGCACTATTTCGTAAGTGTACTATTGACATTACTATAATCTATATTGCGTAGCAACAGGTTCAGATCAACCCTGCGACCGGCCAGCCTGACTATTCCCAGCAATGGATCGACTACTACCGCTCACTGGGACTCGTGCACGAAGCAGAGGCCATTGAACAACAAGCCAAGCAACAGAAACAAGGAGGCGGTATGGATGGTAAGTGCTATGTTTCACTTACTTACTTTTCTAATGATCTCTTTTAAGTACGTTTTCAACCAATTATTTTGATACTAAAGACAATAGTTAAAAATCAAAGTTTAAGAATAATCTGTATGTATTGTCTAGGCAATGGAGGCGGCGGCACACCCCCCGCGTCGGCTGCAAGCGGCAGCGTCCCGGCAGCAGGCCCGGGCGCCGCCCCCGCAGCCCCTGCCAGCGGGGCGCAGCCCGACTACAGCGCGCAGTGGGCTGAGTACTACCGCAGTATTGGCAAGCTGAAGGAGGCCGAGGCAATCGAGGCACAAATCAAACTTAAGGTAACATACTTCAAACGTTATTTGCGGACAGCGCAGTATGTCCCTTCGAACTCCTATTGTATATTAATGACCTTGTGATTGCAAGCAGTCGAGTGGCGGCGGCAGTAGCGCGGCGTCAACGGCCAGTAGCGGCGCGGGCGGCGCGGGCGGCGCGGCGGCGGCGGCCGGCCAGTACGCGCAGTACGGCGTGTATGCGCCGCAGGTGTACCCCGGGTACCAGCCCTACCCCTACGCCGGCCAGCCCGCCGCCGACCACCATCAATAGGCCGTAAGTTGCACCCACACCACAACCAATCTCAGTGACCCTTCCGTCAGGTGACCTCGCCCACTAAACATGGTTCCATATTTAGTGGCCGAGTGTCACGACTGATTGGCTATTGAAACTGGCCGCTAGTTGTTCGTGCTTACTTGTATGCCGGCAGTCACACGTAGGACAGTGATCGTGTATGATACTACTATGCCCGTTATGTCTATTATTTTGTTGTGTATTTTTATTTCAATCCATTCTTTAAGGTTTCTTTTACTTGTAACTTGTTTTTAGTTTTCATTCATTTTTATTCTGTGACATGTCAATAGTACCAAATAATATTTTAAACTGATATTTCACCTACAACATAGTAAATATAAACTGATCAATTACACGAAATGAATTGAAACTTACACATTCAAAGGAGATTTGCGAGAATTATGTAATGATATATTATGTACTATGTATGTATGTTTTATTGCTTATCACTGATTGGTATATTATTGGAACAAACACTATGTGGAGCAATGTTATTTTATGTAGTGGTTTCAACTGTTTATATCCACTGATGATATTATATTGTTGTGTTTTATGAATTTGGACAATACATCCAGCATGTTATGATATATTTTGTGTACTATTATCATAGGTGATTGGTTATTTTTACATTGCAAATTAATCTTTATTTTACAGGCATTTTCTGTTATATATCACAAATCATATTGACGAAATGCATGACTTAATTTATGATATATTCTATTTCAGTTTGCATGTCATACAAACTTGGTGTAAATGATATTTTAATTCTACTCGTATACTGACGTGTTTAGTAGTTATCTGTATGTGTGAGTCGTGTCGGCGTGCCGGACACGATGTTTAGTGTGTGTAGTGTTGCAGATGTAGGCCAGTTCCGGGGTTGCCTGCTCGTGAGCGCAAATGTTTTGTTCCGTAGCAAGTGTTGCCATGTTGTTTGTTTGTGTGATTGCAGAGAGCCGACGGAGGGCCAGGAGACCTGCCGCCGCCTGACACCCCCGTTGTACATTATGATGAAATAGATTATAACTTGGAAAAAGAGCGCATCATACAACTACTCCAAAGCCTAGCTGACGACCCACAATAAATAAGTTTCAGTTGGCGCGCGGCTTTAGATCTGAGTCGACTTCTAGTGGATATTATGTTATATATAGCTTTCAGACAGATGTTTCAACCGTGTGATCTGATTTAACGTTTTAATTATTATTTATGATTGTAAATAAAGTCTAATAGAATTTTGGCATCCATTTCGTGGTCCACTCATATCTAAATTCACGTAATCACGATCAGACAGTACATAGGCACATATCACGTATTTATTTCTTGTGGGTAACTAACACTTAAATATTGTCAACAAAACGTATATGATGAGATTATTTTAACGAACACTTTTATTTTAATTTACGAACGGCTGTGTGGTTTATTCTTTTAACTGTGTTATATCATGTTCTATTTATACTGAATTGTTATGATTGCTTATGTGCCAATATTGATAATTTGACATGCCAGTCTGTCCAGGTATAAGTTAGAAAGCCACACTGCCTTAAAAGATGTAACAGAATGATCCGACCTACCACGGAGCTATAGAGAGAATGAACGAAAAGCGGACTTCACGCCGCGAGGAGCCGAGGTAAATGCACTGTGCTGAGTGACTAGTTGACACACGCATATTGTCTTATAAATACATGTGTAATATCCACGTGAATTTGGAGATCGGCTAATTATTTTTCCAGAAATCAGTAACGAATCATGAAACAGAACTCCCAATTCATGTAATGAACTATGTTTAGCATAAGTTAGGTTATAATGTTTGGCGCCACATCTCTCTGGACAGCTCGTAGGTTGTAATGCTGATGTCAGCGATGTACGGTTATATATAGGCTCAGTTTAATTAGGTGTTAGTGTATATGAGAAATAAATGAGATAAAGGTAATGTAACGCTATCTACATTCCTCTCGACACTGTTCAATTATAGTTCGACGCGGTACTCTCGCGCGACACGGCACCGAGGGCGACAGCCCCCCTCAGACTTGTATTAATTTTTAAGCATATAAAGTGTATATTGATTCACTAGAGTGTTCATTTTATTTATAATCATGGTTTCTGTCCACAGTCCCTGGAGGTAAGTGACCCTAACTCTAAACAATATATCCGTCGTTCTGCTTTACTCTCTGTCTATATTATTCTGAGATTATTAACGTTGTGTTTTTACGTATTTAATATTGATTTTTATTTTTCGTGAGGATGTTTAGTTGTATTAGGATCCTTACTGTTGTATTACTACACGATGTTTGACGTATGGTGAAATAATACTATTAGGATTGATTATTGTAATGATGCTCTGAACTGATGTCAATTGTTTTGTCATACGTTAAAAATCAGTTTTATAGTCGTGTGTATTTTGAGTGACCACATTATTTCCTGTCTGATTAGGTGTAATTCTTACGTTGACATCTCGTAGACACTAATCTCACTGTTCATTATTTTACCGTATTCGTTTTATGATGTTTGCATATTTTAAATGTGCTTTTCACAGAATCGCATATCCAGAGATATGGCATCACTCTTTTTCAATACAGACGGGCATACTTCACCACAATGGCGGGACGTCTTGACATGATGACCGATATTTTGATTATTGTGCAATATTTTGCGTTACTTGATGTAACATTTCCATGTGTCTGTACCTCTATATACCTTATACTTGTATATTTTACATCGCTGTTTACTTGCTATGTTGTATTTGATAATGATCTTGTGTGTATGCTATATCTGCATCTCATCATGTGATAACATCACTACCCTCATTGTTGTCGATCTGTTAAAGGTGGGAGAAGTACTGCCACTCGTTAATATCATTGAAACAGACACAAAAATGATACAAATAATATTGGATAATGGCGGAACGAGCACGAATGCTGAGATAAAGGTGGTATTACTGAGATTGTCTTGGTAAGTCTTATTATAAACTGAAGGATGGAATATATATAATCGGGTTATTCTCTTACTCTTGTTAGGTAATTACTACTGAGTAGATTAACTTTTTGTAAAGAAAACCTAGAATACATAAGGTTAATTATTGTGGTCTCACTTGTAGGACTGTACTAAGAGAACGCGTGTGATACATACGAATTCAACACAAAAAGTACAAAATTAATTGGTTTAGGGTCACTTTCGGCTTAGTGAATGGTCAAAATTAATATCTTCAAATGGGAAATTTTCATTGTATGCGGAATTTCGCTATTGATAGTCTTCTCCTACAGTTATATTTTTATACGTGAATTTGCCTGCACATTTCTTGCTGGCTAAGAGTGTGCAGTGATTTTGAAGCAATTGGACGCACTCCACGAGAATGTTTTGTTATTGTTTCCATTTAGTAGTTAAATATGACATGACAAACTCAAAATTACTTGTGGTGTAGTGCGTTCATTGTTGTGTGTTGAACAAATAGTATGTCTAGTCATGATCATTGATTTTAATTTTGTATTAGTTTTGTCTGTTATGTTCAACCATTTTCATTTTAGTTTTTACTGCGTAGTTATCATACAATTTCTTTTCTTCAAAATTCTTTGTTCATGTAAACATCTTTACACATATTTTTTTATAAATTTGATTACATTATATTGGTTTCCACAGCGGCGAGTTAGGGGCAAATAAAAAATTATATTTAAACTATGTTTTGTTTTATTTCACATAAAGTTATGAGAAAACATAGTTATGCACATAGGACCTGCCTTATTTATATACTAACAATAAATAAAATTGTGTTTGTACTCAGTAGATATCACTGTAAAGTTAAAGCTAATATAACACGTTAACTCCTAATAAATATATTGAAGATAATCTTTAGATAGACTAGAAATCGCAGAAAAACTCGATAACTACACACTGAATTACATTGGAATGTGCAACATAGCTATTCGCAGTAAAGAACAAATGCTAGAAGTAAAATGGCAGTGTAGGACCCATACAGTGTTAAAACTTAGTATCTCTGGGGACCTTGATAGTCTGATTCATCAGCTGATGCGGGAGAGTTCAGGGATGCCGTCGATGCACTCGATGTTCTGATAAGCTGTGATAGTCTGGACAACGGCGCAGTCGCCCAAGGTTGGAGTGGACTGCCTGCCTCGATCACAGGTGAAGGCGACACCCTGCAAAGTAGGTAGTATATTGAAAGACATAGGTTTCTCATTAGATGCGTTGCAATCCTTGTTCAGGTGTAAAATTGTGGATCGCTACCTATCTAAATATTCGTAGTAGCTATAGAATCAGTGCTTGCTTTCAATTTCCAAGTTACCTATTTCTTCTGGGACGGGCAGTTTTCGGTCTCTTGTGTTTAACGGGCTTATGTGCAGTCTGAGCTGGGGCCGCACCTTCAGCGTCAGCCCCACTGCCAGCTCCTGCAAGATTATATTACTTTATAGTAGGTAGTTCAATCGGTGTAAGTATTATTGCTGCGAGTGTAATATAAAGGAAGAGTAATCCGGTTCTTTCAAGCTGATCATTAAAATTACAGGACAACTTGCGAATAAGCGATCCCACCCTATACAAGCTCCTTTTCAAAATCAAAAGCGGTGTGATTTATTGCGTGCGTTCGCGCAGCGGAATGTTGTTGAATTTAAAGATTTTAATTATGCAGATATTTAGTGTATGACGTCGTATAATTGTGTATGGTAAAAAAAAATTTGTGCACGCAACCATTGTGGAGAAATTCACCAAAAACTGATTCCGCTGGGCGAACGTTGTCCTGGCGGAACTTTTTTTAATCCATAGACTTTAGAAGAAAAGAGATGTATCCAAAAATTAGTGTGTATTTGTGTGTAATTGTGTATGTATGAATAAAACTAGTGCATGCATAAACTTCGGAGAAATTCAAGTTTCCGCTACGCGAACGTTTGGCAATTAGCTAGTTTTCATATAAAGCGCTTACATAGAGAGCTGTAGATTTTTACATACGTTGTTTTGAATTTGTGTATATTTGTTTAAAAAACAGATTTAGAAAAAATCGTAGGGTTTACAAGATAAAAATATAAACGTAAAATACGCTTATCAGGTCTTAGTTCTTAAAGTATGCACTTTGGGGTCTAGATTTTCACGTTTATACAAACCTTGTAAGTGTCTGCAACATGTTGCCAAGTATCAATGATGTTCCGTAAGTAATTAAATAGTTATAGGACAATTACGACAAATTTACCATGAATAGATCACTGTTTACAAAGCAGTCAAATATCACGACTTTCTAAATGAATTGCATGGTAAAATGTATGCCAGTAATTAGTGTATTCATTCAACTATTCACATGCAAAATTTCATGTCATTAAATTCAGTAATTAAAGAAAAACAATTATAATACTGACGAAGCATCGAAAACCTACATAACCCGACCAAGTTCGGATGGCTACAAAAAAGCGGCCGTGCCATATATCTAAGACACGTTCTTAACTTTTCAATATAGCATTTATTAATATGGTACAGTATCGTACACAAGCGTTAGGAAAAAATAAAACAATTTTATTTCTTGAATGAAAAATATTTTTTTAATAATAACGCTACTATCTACGATAAAAACAAATCTTCAATTAACAAGTAGGTACTTCTCTATTTAAATCCGCGTACAAAAATATTTTTAATTACGTATAATACTTAATTATTTAATAATAATAACGTTAACAAACGCTTGCAATGACAGCAATAGACTTAAATGTGTTTTAACTAAAATAGATTATGAACTAGCTTTTTGAAACTTAGGGTAAGTATAATACTTCGAGCTTCAAAAAAAAAAAATCACATCACATAACTAACCTATTCAGTTGTTTAGATTTGATCAACATTAAATAAGTGCTTAAAAACTAAAACATTGGTATAAAAAAGGTATTTTCAAGAAAATATTCTTAAATGAGTAGCAAATACTGTAAACAACCTTAATATTTCTAAATAGGTATACCTAATGTTTTCTAGTTTCAATAATAAAATTACAGATTAACAATCACAGATCACATAATTAGACAATTTAGTTGTTTAGGTTTGAGAGTCTGCCTAATATAAAAATAAATCAACATTTAAAAAGTACTTATAAAATAAAACATTGGTATAAAAAAGGTTTTTTCAATTCAATACCAATTATTAAATTAGTAGCAAATACTAAAAATAACCTTAACATTTTTAAGTACAATGTACCTACTCTAGCTTAATTTAAAAAAATCACAGATCACATAACTAGACTATTCAGTTGTATAAATTATTGCATGAGGCATCATATTTTTGGAACTATTTTGAATTTTGCTACATAAATCATCGTAACACTGAAATGATTTATTAGTGTACGGGGGTCTCAAACAATGCGCCTTGTAATGACCAATACCTGGCATTTGTAAAGGTGGAACATATTCAATAATAGCCAATATTAAAAATAGCTTATTATTTATTTCAATATTACGAGGTATGTCCTCTAGATTTATGTAGAAATTATGTAGTTCAAAGATAATCAAATCATTTAAATCATATTTAAAATCGACAGTGCCTATTCCACAAAAATTACAAACAGGAGGATTGTCACTCCTCATACCAGATTCTACAGACTCTTGCAATTTGGCAATGCCTTTACACTTGATGATATCAAAGTTTAAATGTAGGTATTTACATTTAAAATTGCTGTTATTTACGGAAACAAGGCATTCTATATTTGAACAACATTTTTTTCTGTTTCCAGAAAAGTATGGCAAACAGATGTCTTCAATAATTTTTGTGACATTGCACGCACAATCTATAATTTGGCACTGTGTTGCATCGAGTGTATTGTTATTAACAAACAATGGATTTAGTAAAATGTCTCGTTTTGCGTACAACGTTTTGCAATTCCTTTTCGTATTAGATAATTGGATAAAAAAACGAGTGAATGAATCTTTGCTAATCAAGGGATCTATATCTATAAAATGACGGAAAGAGATACGGTCAGTATATGCGACTGCGAAAGCTTGAGCCACTGCGTCAAATGCACAGGTATTAGTCACTACATTTTTGATGTCTTTCGATATTGATACGTTACCATTTTGTAAGATGTATAGAGGCTTCGACGAGATAGTTTTTTTGTTGGGAATAACTAGACCTCTCCAGTTTTCTATTTCAACAGGATAGTCTTGAAAAATGGATTGCTCCTCGAAATCACCTATAATTTTTGTCTGTTTAACTTGATTAAAATTCATATGTTCATTCTTATTCTTAATTACGTTAGTAGCAGTTTCAGAATATTTAGCTTTATTTAATTTGATCATCCCATTAAGGTAAGTGTTCATCAGTGTAAGTGTGTATCAGCTTCGCACTATCATTCACTCAATATTCCTACTACATAATTATGTTATGCTTTACTGTTACACTATAACATTAATAATAACACACTTTCTCAATATTATTATTACAGAGAATTGGCGATGCATAGCAAAACAACAACACATTGTCCTTGACTGCACATTTATTTGTTTGTGACTGGGGATGAAACAAAATCAGGTTCAAGTTCAACAGCAAACGAATACGTCAACTTCAAGGATGACAGCTTATCGCTCGTTGCGCGCAGCGCGTTGTCTATTTTTTCACACAAGAATATTTTTGATCAATTCATAACTACAATACTTAGACTATTTAACTAAAGGATTAAGCGTATCGAACTTCGAACAATATAATTCTGCATATTTTGGTGGGGTGCGGGGGAACACGCTCGCATACATAAGAAAAAAAAATCGATTCAAGAAGTAGTTTTTTTTAAGTTATTTGATTGTTTGATCCACTAAAGTTGCAAAGGGGAACGCTCGTGCATGCCTAGTCTATTGGTTAAATAGTGTAATAAGCTACAATATGATAAATATTTACCTAAACAGTAGTACATACTTACATGTGGTAAATATTTAATTTCCCTAAGGGGTCTATAGTTAGAATCCTGATCCTTGAAATCTTCAATAGAAACTAGCTGTATGAATTTTATTTGTCTTAAATATAATTAGATTATATCTCAAGTCTCAAGCGCATACTTAAATAAAGTACCTACGTAAATAGTACCTACTTTCTGTCATAGTCAAATACATTTAAAAAAGTAGGTGTCCAAAAATAAATGACATAAAAATTATTTCGAAACAACAAATGTGTTATCACCTGTACCAATTCAATACCGGTATTATACTGTAAATTTTGGGATGTTACCTAAATATATTGCACAGCCGCTTTTTTGTAGCCATCCGAACTTGGTCGGGTTATGTAGGTTTTCGATGCTTCGTCAGTATTATAATTGTTTTTCTTTAATTACTGAATTTAATGACATGAAATTTTGCATGTGAATAGTTGAATGAATACACTAATTACTGGCATACATTTTACCATGCAATTCATTTAGAAAGTCGTGATATTTGACTGCTTTGTAAACAGTGATCTATTCATGGTAAATTTGTCGTAATTGTCCTATAACTATTTAATTACTTACGGAACATCATTGATACTTGGCAACATGTTGCAGACACTTACAAGGTTAGTATAAACGTGAAAATCTAGACCCCAAAGTGCATACTTTAAGAACTAAGACCTGATATGCGTATTTTACGTTTATATTTTTATCTTGTAAACCCTACGATTTTTTCTAAATCTGTTTTTTAAACAAATATACACAAATTCAAAACAACGTATGTAAAAATCTACAGCTCTCTATGTAAGCGCTTTATATGAAAACTAGCTAATGGCCAAACGTTCGCGTAGCGGAAACTTGAATTTCTCCGAAGTTTATGCATGCACTAGTTTTATTCATACATACACAATTACACACAAATACACACTAATTTTTGGATACATCTCTTTTCTTCTAAAGTCTATGGATTAAAAAAAGTTCCGCCAGGACAACGTTCGCCCAGCGGAATCAGTTTTTGGTGAATTTCTCCACAATGGTTGCGTGCACAAATTTTTTTTTACCATACACAATTATACGACGTCATACACTAAATATCTGCATAATTAAAATCTTTAAATTCAACAACATTCCGCTGCGCGAACGCACGCGATTTATTTATTACATACCCACTACAAACATGGAATGTTCCACGTGTCCCGGTGCAGGCAAACCAGTTGCTGACAAGATACACAGCGGGCGAGCTGCTTTTATGCGAGCTACGTCGGCAACCGCCCTGGTAAACAATAACGATGAAACTTAGCGAAACAGAGTAATAAGGAGTCGTACTCGTACCTACCTAAGTACTTATTGAGGTAAATAATAAGTGCCTATTATTTGATAACTCAAATAATAGAAAAGAAGTAGAGTTGCCCCAAGGTTTAGCTGCTAATTTTGGACATATACACCTACTTCCTTTACTTATATTATTAATGAATGTTTGTTTGAATCGACATACCTACCTACTGGGTCGATTCGAAAAGTTCACTGTTAAGAAACTATCCCAGGTGAATACAGGCTATGAACACGTGATTGAAACCGCTGGGGATAGCAGCTAAAAAATAATATGAAACGTCCATTATTACTAGATAAGTAAGTACCTACCTAGGTAGCTTCTAGTATAGGTACCTACATAATGTGCATTTTCAACAAATACATAGCATACAACATAGAAACCTCTTTAAAATAGTAGGTAGGTAATTGCGGTGTAAAAAGGTACCGTAAAACGGGGTGAATAGAAGTTGAGGGGTAAATAGATACACGAAAGGGGTGAATAGATGTTGGCGAATTTTCCTTGTATCTATTCACCCCTCAACCGTGTTTATTCACCCCTCGAATTCTATTCACCCCGTTTTACCGTTACATCGTTAATCATACATACAAAAAATGGTGGTGTTCCCTAACAAAAATTATTACCTTCACTTTCATTATCGGTAAAAGGTGTTACAAGTACTCAAATAAACACCTGATCAGTCACTGTTATTTTATCACTAGACACACTAGAAAAGCGTCAGTTGTGATCTCGACAACTGTCAAACATTACTGTCAGTCACGCACGCGTTAGTACATACCTATCTTGGTTTGGTTGTTATTGTATGTAAAGACATCAGTCTCAAGGTCAAATCTTTGTATGATCATCAGTTTTCTATTTTATTGTGAGCTCCCAAATTATCGTATCTTATAATACTCATCATGAGCGAAGGAGATGCCATTTCGCCGAATGATACGGGATCTCAACGCATGGAAGCAGATTTTATTAAAACTTATAAGAATTTACCCGTACTTTGGGATACTACACATAAACACTATACCAATAAATACAAACGAAATGAAGCTCTAGATGTGCTGGTGGATGTCATGAAGAGATCGAATCCATCGGCCAACCGATACAGCGTACGAAAAAAAATTAACATATTAAGGTCTTCTTTTAGAAAAGATTTATTTAAACATTTGTCTTCGAAGCGAATAAATGAAAACGGCGAAGAAATTTACGATTACAAACCTACCAATTGGAAGTTTTACGAACTAAGATTTCTCGAAAGAGAAGATGATAGCAATGATAACAGTTTTACTGAAGTTAAAATGGACGATAGCACATTTCAAGTAAGTTTGACGTATTTTATTTGATTGTAATTATTGTACCTACTTAGGTACTTGACACTAATGTCATAATGAATAGCCGGCCTCAATAATATGGTAGGGTGGTAGCCAATGAACCACGTGTACACTATGAACCATGATACCTACGGGCTTTACGCAACGTTGCCAGTTCACGCAAAAATCATGTCGAGACTCGCTTGCCACATCGTGAAGTTTGGTCCAGTCGCCGCGCGCTTGTCGCGATATACGTACGCGTGAGCCGCGTCCTTGTGTTTACGAAAGCAAAAACGAGGAAAAAAACGTGAGTTTCATTTTGTAGTTACTTTAATAATATAAGTCGTACTTAAGTTTGTGTGAATTATATGTGTATTGTAGGTCTTTAGGCTTATTTGAGACTATTTTTTGGAATTAATTCTCAACGGTTTTTGTATAAAACTTAACCTAACATTTCGTAAGAGGAGGTGGGTACGCTGTGAGCCATTTATCCTGGGTAAGCAATGAACCATGGTTCATTGTGTACCACATCTAAGTGCTTTGTATTATGCTATATAAACAGGTAGGGGTAATAATCTAGTCAATCTCTAAGTGTAAATGAGTACTTACGTATAATTAATTATTTGTCTATTTCAGCATGGGACGAAACACGGTACGGAGGGAAGCTCGTAAAAAAGGGTTTCACACCGGAGAAGCTATACAAAAATAGAAAAACATTTGTCTGGACTAAGCATTAGAAAAGCAGCCAAAGACTGCAACCTTCCCTATCCAACACTGCGAAGATACATCTCAAAATACAAGCACAATCCGTCGTGTAGACTAGAGCCCCATTACGATGCAAATAAAATTTTTACTGACCAACAAGAAGACAGCATAAAGGAATATTTATTGGATTGTGCAAATAAATTCTATGGCCTAACTTCTAAAGATTGTCGCAGAATTGCATACCAAATGGCAGTGATTAACAAAATCGAAATGCCACCATCGTGGGAAGTTCATGAATTATATCTTCAGAGTTTATGCGTCACAAAATTTGTTAAAAGTTTA